TCGCAATATCTGCGATGTTATCGAAAAACGACCTACAAAATGATCGTTTTCAGTCATTACGTTCGCTTAGTAATACGTAACGAGAGAGCAAAGTTAAACATGCAACAAAACGTACATTCCATAGGTCTTTCAATAATCCTAGAATAATTCTACTTAGCAGCCTTGCTTTATGCTAAATAAAATATAAATACTATAAAATCATCATGGAGTTGCTAGAGTTAACAGATAAAATTAATTGAGCGCGTGAAAGCTCTGTTGTAAGATTGGCAAAGAAACTTTCAACCTCCTATACATCGCCAAGTCTTGTGCTAATACAGATGACTAAAGATGCAGATCAATTGTCGCACACGACACACCGATTTTTAGTCGAATGGATATCCGTGAATCGATCGCTAGTAACGCGAGATAAATGTGCTCGTTCATATAAAAATATAACATCCTCAATAATTTATTTGTGGTGTCGTCAATTATCTATATTTATCTAAATTATACATATATATGATTATATATATATAAGCTTTATATATATAATTTAATATTATATATATAATTATAAATTATATATATATATGCACACATATACATACTTATTTATACTTATAATTTTGTGATTTCCTGCCACATATGATATAGCACTCTATAAATCGTATACTCGTCAATCTCGCAGGTTTATACGCATTTTTAGTCCGTATCTGCAAATAGCGTTCGTTGATCTTCGTTTTTGCTAAATTTTCTTTCTATCAACCAATTCGTCATTATAACATATCTCATTATAAAATTACTTCCCGTGAGTTATAGCGCTGATATACTCATAAAAACGCACTTTCTTATCGCCGCGAAAGAAAGTCTTACTCCGGTATACGTAACATTATATAGAATTGATTTTCATACAGTTATCGTTTTGGATGGCACCGTAGATTTTGACTTTACGCTTAAATAGTCGTTTAGTGTATCGATTTCACGCTCGTGAAAATTATCTTTAAAGATAATAATATTAGCCCGGTAAACAGCATATCAAATGTAATATCGAAGCTAACAACGTACGTTTTCCTTCCTTCAAACAAATCCTGCTCAAAAGGACACTGAAGCTTTCGCACAATATATAGTATCTTTCGGCAAATTCAATAAATAATTTACGAAACTCCATTACACTCTTTTATCTAATATTCCACTAAATTAAAACTAAATCCAGTCGCAAGAGTAGGCCATTTCACGTACCTACACAACGCACACACAGGCACACGCATTCTCTTTATCCTGATTTTTAAATATATATTAAACATATAAATCTACTCCTGCTTCTTTCTTATTTCAACTCTGCATTAAGCCAAACGGAACTAGAATCAAATAAACCTCAGCTCTCCGAGATCCTGCACAATCATCGATCCTGTTGTTATTCGATTTCGCAAGCTGGAAGACCTTGTCGAAGCTTCACGCTACGTTCCATCTTCGAACTGCATTCTCTCACTAGTAGCTCTTCCATCTCCATTTAATATTCTGCGCTGATTCTTCTTCTCTTGTGAATGTATTCTTCTGTATTAGCGTTTCGGAACTTCTCTTCATCCTGACGTGGTTCCGACTCCATCCTGATGCATCCTGCCAACTGTTTATCTTCTTCTTTTTTTCTCCTATAAGTGTGCATGTACTTTTGCTTTCACTAGTCATGTAACAAGTCGATATTCGGTCTAGACAATGAGCGGTCATCAATCGTTGTTCATATCCTTCAATTCGGTATATGCGATCCGCTTTCGGTACAAATTGCTACCGCTCGACAGCACGTTCCTGTTGTTCGTCGATGGACCGGGCGTGTAATAATGTCGCCTCTTGTACACGGCCAGCCTACAAAAGAAAAAAACTAGTTAAGATATCTGCATAGTGATTAATTTCCTACATATATATATATATTAAACGAGTATTGCTTTCATTTCGTAAATTATGACTTATTATAATTAATAATAATGTCAATCATTTATCATTATAAAGAAGTAATATAAAATTAAATAACAATCTTTGATTATCGTCCATCTGCGTGCGATGTTTTTTTGTAATTCTGTGATCAGATTTCTATTACAATTGTAATTAATAATTACTGTAATTATATTGGAAATATAGCAAAATTTCTTTGTAAAAGTGCTGTGCGTAGTTAATTTTTTCAAACATTAAGGTGGTATTTTCCTATGGAACACCTTCTTTCGGTTAAAAAAAAATATACAATTTATTAAAAACACAAAACAAATTTTATTTCTCTCTTATTTTAAAACGTTAATTCAATTCCAAACACAGATTCTTTTTGAAATGTCATAAATTTAAATAAAGGCCTCATTTTTCACCGGAGCGGTCTCACTTTCACATTTTTATCGCGATCGAAAAAATTTACCACAATTTCTGTTTCTTCTTAATTTATTGCATCAATAAACTAAGTAATCTTCCGCTCTCGAAAATAATTCCTTCGCCTACGTGGCACTGTGCAATGTCCGTTCGTCTTCGCATCTTTATAAATATAAACGGCTCGATGCATATAGGATTACCGCGTTTTATCAGTACAATCGCAGGTCAGTCCTTGAGCACGATCTAACGCAGGAATTTGCGCAAAAAGTTTGAATGGCAAATGCAGTCACGCCTACATCACGTGTATTGTTCACTGACAGCCATTCGTTTCCTTTTTCTCTGCACCAGCACGTGTGCTGGTGCTGGCAATTGTATCGGTACATTCACGGGAAATACTAATAGCTACATGCAGCTTAGTAGCTTCATCACACCTATCGCAATAACGTCGAAACCACGGCTATGTGTTCTTCATGTAATAGTGACATACATTCGGAGTGTCTAAAAATTCGCGTTATTCTAATGGCAAGAAATATTGTAGTTAACGCGAATAAAGAAGTAAGACTTTATTCCTTCCGGTGTAGTATTTCCTGTTTATTTTGTGAGTATTATAGTTCCTCCCTGTCCAAAGAAAAATTTCATCCGAGGTATATTTAATTTTGAGGAGCCTGAAGAGTCTAAATACTTCATTTAAATCATAATTAAGATGTTTACTAGATATTCATATAAGTAAATAAAAGATCAACGGTTTGGAAATTTAGCCATATTTTAAAGTGCGTATAATTTTCAAATTTTTTTCCTGGATAAAATTAAATCTCTTAATTCAAGAAAAAAAACTTGATTCTGCAAAAATTCATATCTTTATACACTTAAAGCTTTTCTTCTTTGAATTAAATTTTTTTTTAAAGAGAACGTCTTCGAATACTTCTCTGCCTTCTGGTGCATTTTGAGTCACCCTGTATGATCATCATGACTCGAATGTTATCTACATAATTACTGGTAATAATTGATGGTACACTAAGCTCCACCGAAGGTGCGCGAAAACTTCCACTCGCGATGGAATGATAATTATTGTTGTAACAAAAAGCTCTTCAAATGTTATCTATCGAAAGGAATATCCTTGTGTGCAAATTGACAACGCATTCTTATGCAAACATTTAAAAATATACACACATCTGTATTCTTTAATTGCACATAAAAAAACAAATACAAATTACTCATACATAATTACGTTTAATTTCTGGTATCGTGTTAATACCGGAAAATACTGGTTTAACGAATTCATCTCGTAAATGCAATTCCTTCACAACTGATCCTTGACAAATCCGGTTGCTCATTAGGCGCAGACTTACCAAACAGAACGAAGGAGCGTATTTATCCGATCTAGTTTCGACGAATGTATCTGGAATGTTTCTTTTTTTTTAAGTAATTATACTTTACGGATATGTTACAGAGTAACGTAAATGGCTGCATGCAAGACTCGGTACATCGCAGGATGGGTTTACATATAGACATTCAATTTATTTATTTTATTGAAGTTATTGTTCAGGGAGCTGGACTTGGATGCAGGGAGCATGCATAACACATTACTTCGCACAAACAGCTGTAGGAAAAGGAAAAATGGTATCCGATTAATAAAAACAATTATCTTAAGTATTGTTATATAATTACGACTGAAAAAGAAACCGTGCAATATTATTCGGGGCAAGACAAATACGAGTTCTGTATACACTCATGCGTTATTAAATGTCGCTCGGCTATAATAAAGTTCTAAAAAGTAGCGGTATTTCTTCTGGACTAAAAACGTAAAGCAATCGGCGGATAATTCATTAATGCTGTTTGTGCGCTAATATTAATTATTAATAAATAATTAATAAGTTAATTATTAATAATTTTACAATCAAATAAATTGTCAAGTTGTGCCAATATTTAAATGTATATGTAATTGTAGAGATCTCCATATTTTACAAATAAACTATCTTAAGCAGTTATATGATAAACTTCTTTTTTTAAATATGTTTCTTAAATTTCTTATATTCTTTATTTTTCTTTAGAATTTATTCAATAGATTCGGCGAATGCAGACGTAGTAATTTTCGAGATCGTAGCTCTAATATTTTGCTCATATATTTATAAGTATATTGCGTATATGTCGAGCTCACAAAATTACTACAAGGGGAATGATTGTCGCGAATGGGCAAGAGAGGACTATAAAATATAGAGGCGGCAATTCGTGAATTGAAAGCAAACTATCTGTCATCGTTATGGACTGTCAACCGTCAACGGTCGTTCGTTCATTGTCCATCATCTCGCGCTTTCCTCAACTCGTTTAATACTTCGTGTTATCCGCTCGTTTTAGATTCAAGTTATATATAAGGCACTCTTCGAGTAACGACGAAGATTAGAGGAGTAATTTTGGCGACGCCGAGCCTTCACGATGTCGTTATTGCGACTCATAAAAATAAGATGGCTAGGCGCCGTACGCATAACTGACTAGATGAGTCCACTCGTCTCTCAGAAGTGAAAGAGAGAGAGAGAGAGAGAGAGAGAGAAAGAGAGAGAGAGAGAGAGAGAGAGAGAGTGGAATCTTTCCCGTTGTATCTTTTATTTTGTAACTAGTCTTGCTGCAAACTGTTCCCTTAATTTTCTCATTTTCTCATCTTTATATCTTTCCTTTTTCCTGTCAAGGAACCTTATTTTGAGGAATCGGTCTCCGGAAAGTCTTGGAGACGTTGATATTTTTGTTTGTTACATAGATATGCGCGATATAATAATTTATCTATCCTAATAATACTAGTACAGTAGTGTATCAATGGCTAATCTCAAAATAAAATATAATATACAGCGGTTTATATATAGTATACGTCGTAGAGACTAAATTCGAGATATCGCCTGCGGTATTTTCAAAGTTTTAGATCTAAAGATAAAGAATCAATTCCTGCAATGGAAGGATAATAGAACATAATTCGACCAGCGAAATAGTTCAGTTTAAATGATCACAGAATATACCTCATAACAGCGCACGTCTGATGGAGCGATTAAGTAATAGACGATTGTCTAGCGATAATAGATCCTGTCTACGTTAGCCATCAGAGAAGGGCCAAGATATTCCTATAAATAATATAACGACATAATTCCATAACTAAGAAGGCACATGTTTGCAAATATCTTTAGGCATACTGGCGATATACTCTTAGAGACAATCTCAGAGATAATACGTACTAGATATTTTCACTAAAATAATCATAAATCATGAGGAATGTAAAAAGTGCGGAATGGTAGATACAATATCATAATAAATTTAAACAACAGTAAGTACGATATCAATGGCATATCGTAAGTAAGGCAACAAAGATGCATGTCCCTTCTAAAATAATACTTAAATGCAAATAATATCGTTAATATATAATACATCATCATGTGGCTTATAGAATATTCTTTGGAAGCAAAAGAATAAAAATGACGCTGTTTTCGAGGCCCTCTCGCACATTTGGAGTGTCTTACAATAATATAAGAAGAACAGTGCCCGCACTTGCTTCTATTTGGTCCTTTTATACCCGTTTTACGCTCTCTTCATCGATCGTTCGATTATTAAATCATACAAATCAAACGAGCGAGAAAGAAGAGTGAAAATATTATTTAGATCAATTTCCGTTTCTTTAAGATTGGAAGTATCTACTATCATCGATCGATTTTTCTAATGTATCTTTTTTCGCGAATTTTATGCTAGATGATTTAGGTCACTTGGATGTCTGAAACAGAAAGCAAAAAATAATCTTTTAATTTAAGTGTGTTACTACTAATATTAATTAATGGAAAAGACTTGGATATACGATTTTATAAGTTTATAAGAAATAGGCTGTTATAAATTAGGTTTAATTACAAAAATGTGTGAGTAAGTCTTTCCCATTGTACTTTTTTTTTTGTAAAGACTTAATTCTATCGACACTCACCTCACCCTATATATCCTGCTGCTAATGATATGATGATACCCAGAAGCCCGGTTAACATTTGACCAGCTGTTGAAATGACTGGCGGTGCAGACGCCGCATTCTCAACCACGGCGTCTGCCGAAAAGTAATCCTCCGCAGTCAACCTATCACCATACTTATCCAACAATGTCATAACGAGTCCATTTGACCAGCCGAAACCAAGTTGTACTTCGTACTCACCTCCACTACCGTGGCCACCCGAGACGGTCGCGTCGTACTGCAAACAAAATTCCATTTACTCTCATTTTAGAAATTTATTTAGAAGACAATTGCATAAACAATTTAGAAAAACATTTTTTTTTATCAAACAATTTAACATTCTCGACATAAATAATTTTATTTTTTAATGCGACATGAGTTTTTTTTCTTCAAAATCGCAACGTACACAAATTTATATTCTTTCATTTCATTTATATTCTTTCTTTGTTTTCATATCTTTTCATCAGAATCTTACTTTACCTTTTCGTACATGCAGTGAGTTTCATTAAAAGCCTTATAGTTGCTACGGACCCATCTCTGGCTAATCTCGTAGGCTAGTCTCTGCGCCCATGCGTCGCCTGTGTTATTCAATGACATGATGAAGAAATATTGGAGAGGCGGCCAGGCATTGGGATAGTCCCATTGTTCACCGGAATGTTCTAATGTCGTCGGTATGCCGCCCTGATTTAACATGATCTGATTCTTTTCGAGGTACTTAAGCACCTTCGACACGTATTCAGTTCTCTTTGTAGTGTCATAGCAGTCCGTCCAGAGTGGCAAAATGTTAGTCGGATAGAAGTAGTCTCGCTTGATGTCGTTCAATATATCGTAGTCCAACCAAACACCCACCTCCTCGTGCCACAATACCATCTCGATCGCCTCTTTCCACTTCTTAGCCAATTCATCATAATGTGCGGCCTTTGTCTCATTGCCCATTTGACGATTGTACTGCGCCAGCAGTATAGCGTTTCGATATAAGAAGGTGTTCAGATCGACCGGAATTATAGATCTAGTCTTGAGATTTGTTAGATTACCTGAAATCCATCTGACTATCAATCTCTAGTTCTCTTTTACGAGCTAAGTAAAAGTCGCTCTTACGAGTTGCCATTATTTCGAAGCGCAATTAATTACGACCACTTTAAAAAATGAGTTAAATCGAGTTTTCAATTTCATTATGATGGAATTGAGCGAGGTAGGGGCAGTTTAAACATACTGTGCAGAAAAAAATAACACGATCTAATGATTTCAGTTGCAATACGTGCAGTTTTTGCGAAAATAAATTTTAGAGTACCGATGCCTCGAACATTGCTTTCACTTAAGAAACGAGCTAGAGGGCCTTGAAGTGCGCGCAGATCTCATTGAAGATACGGTGTTTAATGTGGAATAGCACGATAATTGTGGGTAATGCTGCTCATGTATGTGTAATACGTCATTATAGCTTCGGTTCAATCTATTAAAAAAATTTATGACGAACAAACAGGATTGCGCTCTTAGCTTCTTTTAGTGTACGGTACTAGTTTCTAATGAGCATCACGGATAATCAAAGAATCTGCACGTAAAAGAATTAAATGCGGGACTTCCTACATTCAATTTTTATACATATTGTTTTATATATTATATATAAACATACGTCTATTTTATATATAAATATCTGTTTCTTCCTTATTAAATAACAGATATTATCATTATTGAGCTTATAATTCTGTCGCCTCTGTGACAATAACGCTTTATTTTAACCATCAAAGTTATTTTAAACCGTACTCGTAAACTCGCGTGTAATACTACTGCACCCAACGTCGCTCACCCATAAAAACCTTTATTTTCCTCGCACGGGAAGCAATTAAGAAATGATAATTACCCTTGTTGGTACCCTCGTGTACGAACCATCGACTGGAAAAATCCCATCCGGACTCGGCCGCCGTTTTCAATTCCGAATAATAATTGTCCTTCTCTTCGGCAGTTCGAAAACTTTGGCTCGTCAGATAGTCCTCCCTGATCACCAAATCGCGAGATTAAAAAACCGAAGGATGGAAATCAATCAGAATTGTCGTCGAAAGTGAGAGTAGCATTACTAATTACTACTAGAACTCGCAAAATTAATGCTGATTTTGCGCGTTTCGCAAGAGAGTCAGAATCTCTTGTGAACAATTCAAAAGTATTGCCCAACGCATTAAAATTAACGCTTAAACTAACGCTTAAACTAACGTAAAGATAGTAAGCATAAGTATCGTCAAGAATAATATCTCCGCGTATATATGCTTTAACTCATTTGCTTTAACCCTGGATCATTTAGCTGCTCTCAAAATCCGCAACGTCATTACGAAGTCGCGGTACTTACTTGTAGGACTCTGGTCGGGGACCTGATGACTCTTCGTAATATCTAGCTAGCGTATAATTGATCCCATCTTTTTCAATATCCACGGTACGGTTGGTCATCCAGAAGTTGAACTCTTTCTCCAGCAGCCAGAGATTCTCCTTCAACCAGGCGTCGTCGTGGGTGGTCTTCAAATATTCGTCTACCATAGGTATCAACAGTGGCGGATGCGAGCGCATCTCATAGTAGATTCTACCGCCATTCGGTATGAAACCGATCTTATCCACTATCTTAACGAAATTGTTCAGCATGCCCTTGACGGTGTCGTGCATTTCGGATAACAACAGGCCTTTGACGATCCAGTACGAGTCCCAATAATAAAACTCGCGGAATCGTCCACCGGGCACGATCACCGGATTCGGTACGTAGATGATCGAGTAGAGCTGCTCGTTAATCCGCACGTCGTCCCGCATCTTTCTGCCCAGCAGTTTCCAGATATGATTGAGATCGGAGCCGAACTTTCGCAGTTCATCGTCCTCGATGTTCTGCAGGAACTTGGGAGTGGCTGTCCAGTCGGCCGGGTCCCAGTCCTCGAACTCGTAACCTGGCTGTTCGAACGTGTCGTTAACGAACTTCTCCACTTGGTGCTTGTTCGGCGCGTTGTGCGTGCCTTTCATGAAGGCCCAGAACGACGCCAACGTCTCGTTTGCCGGCCGTTTCATCTTCATATCAACGAAGTACTTGGAGTCCTTGTATATGCCGGCCATTTGTACCGTGTGCAGCAGATCGCCGTGGCAGTATATCTCACTGGAAAGGCATGGTACATGGCTACTTGGCTACTCGACGAGCACGAGACCCTCCCGATCGCGTACAATTGGTCACGACCAATGGTGATCTCTCTCGCCAGAGCGGGAGTGTTACGTGAATGAAATCGACAGGACGAACTTTGCACCGGAGTAAAAAGAAAGGACGTGTATGAAGAAATAACAAACGGGACTGTATGTGTGTGTTAATTTATGCGACGATTTATGCAGACTTACGGTAACAACAAGATAACGATTATGAATAGCTTTAATGAGGAACATCGTTGACATGAGAGTTCCTGTTATTAATTAATTTCATAGGTATGGTATCAATTAGACGGCCTCCAAATCTCCTTTTTTTCACCGCTGTGCAAAGTCAATCCTGTATTAAAGGAAGCTATGTTAAGGTTTCAAACTGTGGTGTAATCCTATAGTGGACTTTACGAGACACTCTTTTCAACTATTCGCGGTTCTCGCGGTTGGATCGATATCTGGACCAATGTCTCGACCTCCACCTGAGCCACCGGAAATATTTTAAAACGCACAATTTGCAAGGAGAATAAAGGAAGTTATAGCCACTGATTGTAAGAAGAAAAAAAGAGTTGTGGCTTCGAATTACAAAGTAGGATTATCTATTATCGTTTATCCTCATAAACAACGATGACAGGTAAATGAAGGTGCAAGTGACATATGTTATATGTAAAGAATTTTGTCTGATTAATAGTAACAAAATTCCAATCCAATTATATCGTTTTATTTTTTCCCATGAACTAGGCGTTGCAAGTATCTTGATTACTTCCGGGAATATCGTTCGGTAGACCGGGATTAGATCAGAGCTCATAAAAAGAACGTATTCATTCAAACGAGCGAGTATTCATGCGGCAACAGTCGTAAATATGAAAATTCTGTCGCGATTACGAAGCGTAGCGAGTATAAATATTAAAAGTACACAATAAATTAAATTTAAAAAAAAAACGCTCAAAATTTTCGTGATATATTTCTTTGAATCAATTCGTTAAAAAAAGATTCTACTGTCGTGAGAGCAACGCAAGCGAGTATAGTATTGTTTCTTGTTTGGACTATTATTTTTCTGCTTGCATTCTTCTCGCTTCCGTTCCTCTCTCTCTCTCTCTCTCTCTCTCTCTCTCTCTCTCTCTCTCTCTCTCTCTCTCTCGCATGGATTATTTTTCAGCGATCTCGGACACGCCGGGTTGCGCGATATCACATGTAGATCAGTCCGGCCACCAAACGTGCGAAATCGTGCGACTCCCGCTTTCCTGGATGGCCTTGATGAACGCGATCCCTGCGTGCCACGTGCTCGTTCGTTTCGCGGCTAGGAATAAAATCGATCGTGGTCTGTGCGTAGAATAGAAGAGATCCCGAGCGTTGTTCGCGTGACGGAATACGCGAGGCAGCTAGCGATCGGCTCGCGAAATGTGCTCGCCTCATTATCATTAATAATACGCGCGCTACAGTCGCGTCTCGCGAATACGTTACGAGGGATAAACGGTTTGTGCTGGAAACCGAAGCGATTTCCGTGAGTCGCCTCTTTATGTATTGATACGATTACCGCAAAAATCTGATTGCTGAAAAAAGAGACTGGTAGTAACCATCAAATGTTGAGTAAAATAATTTCAATCAAACGTTCGGTTAATACAACAATAAAAAGTCAAAGCTACAAGAGTAATTACTCTTATTCCTTTATATCCTTTTTTTTTAATTATTTTTTTGTTTTAATATTGGCGTTGTTAATTTTACTTAATGACTAAAAAATGATTTTACTTTTCTAAATTTTGTATCTAAATATTTAATATTATTTTTTACCAAACATAATAATATAATCAATTATTTGATTTTAATAATTATTAAATATTTAGAAAAGTAAAATTATTTGTTATTATATTAACAGAGCATTTGATTAAAACTTCATTCAACATTTGCTATTATCAGACTTTTCTTTCGGCACAGAAGAAGTGTGAAAATTTCCGTGGGGGAAATTCCGATATGTGAGCGCCTGATTATTAATCCGTGATTACGTGCCGGTACGATCCTTTTAACACAAATATAATTATCCACATGGAATAACTGCACGCACGGACGCATCTTTTAATCGAGACACGTCGCATAATATGGGAGTATTTTTAAAAGGAAAGATCTATCTTTGCAAAGATCGGATATGTGACCGTCAAGTTATTGTTGTTCCTAGAAGAATATTATTTAAAGGAGTTTTTTCATGTCAAGTTTATTTGTTCCGTTGTCAGATTATCTATGTTAATACATTTTCAAATAGATGGAAACGATGGCGTGGGAATGATAGTGCTATTTCAGCGTTTGCGTAATTTAGCAGTACGCATGATAATTTCGTTTGAATACACATTCGTGCATGCGATAACCGTAATCATTCAGTTTTCATCATTGTCAAGCTGGTTACTAAACCTTACTAAATCTTATATATCCACAATTATGCGTGATATATTGCTAATTAATAAATAGTGCCGATTTCACATGATAATTAATCTAATTTAAATTACTAGCTTCTATACTTATTATTCTCAAATAATATATCGATCGCAATGCAGACAAGGATTATTTTTTACATAAACTGGGCGTAAAAAATTATCATGAAAAATGGTAATAATTATCACGAACAGGTTCGAACAGCCGTGTCAAATGCAGCGGATTGTGAGATGCCGGCGATAATTTAACCGTTTTAATTACACATTGATTTAATTAATGCTACGTAAATGCGGGTATTGCATCAGAAGATCTGCATTTGATACACATTCGTTAGTCTCCCGAATATAAATCTTCATTTACGTATAAGCAAACAAAATCGAATTGGATCTCCCTACGAAAATCCGGTGCTCTTAAGCCCGTTTCTATCAATGTAGATTAATTCAATCTCAGTTCAACTTTTTCATCTATTTCTAGTTCTAAGAATATTATGAAAAGATGAAGAGTAAGTTGAACTGAGATTAA